AACACCCGTTAATTAGCTGATAACACTAAAACTTAACTAAACTGTTTTATTTTACCAGGCAAGGCCCACTGAGCTATATAGCTCTTTTTTCAGAAGCGAATTGGCCACACATACTAGCTCAACGAAGTGGCTTATCGTGTGTAAATTTATAGCAGCCAAATCCTCTAAACGCGTGCTTAGAGACGTGAAGAGAAAACCGGAGGACCCGGAGAAAAATCCACCCGACCACGTGGAGAGACAGAACACGTAAACTCCACATATACAGCAGGCGTCAAGGTCGGGATATAATCCTGTATACCGGGCGAGGTAGTTAACATCACTGCAGAGTCTTCTTGGTTCTTTCGGTAAAGTCACGTAGAAGGGAAATAATAAAATAATAAAAATAAAACATAATTGTGTTATTATGTTTAATTTTTATTATTTTAAAACATAATTGTATTATTATGTTTAATTTTTATTATTTTATTATTTTCCTTCTACGTGACTTTACCGAAAGAACCAAGAAGATGAATCTCTGCAGTCACGAAAGCTTTAAATCGAAATCATTGCAGAGCTTCGGTAAGAATTTGGCGCCGGCTCACGGCTCGGCTGCCTCTCCCACTTTGCTGCGGTTGTTCGAAGATCCGAGTTGCTCTATCTGTCTATCTCTTCGCGAGCGTGCGGATGTTGTGCAGCACGTTTCGATTTTAAATTGTGATAATCGAGAGAGAGAGAGGTAGAGAGGGGAGGAAGATGGGTTCCGGAGCAGCGGTCGAACGAGGGGCTCGCAATTCGAAAGTTTGCGAGCTCAGATTCTGCTTGGACATCTGTGAAAACGAACTTTGTGGCTCATAGTATTCCTCCAATATAAATACAGATTATGATTCTGACTTCGAATAAGGTACTACTTTGCGGGGAAATCTACATTCATTTTCATACGGAGAAACTCACCCCCCCCCCCCCCCCACCATAGGAACATGGAATTTCCACCACTCGTTCTGGGCTGCAAACAGTAAATGAGCACCACCTTCAATGCTCATCTGAGCAAGACATCCTTGGATCAGACTGAGAGCATCTCAGCAAGGGGAGACCGCACCTTTGCGTACCGCCGCAGTGAGCCCTGTAACAGAGCCATCAGGGGTTGCAGAGTCGATGTTTCTCACGTGGGGTTTACCCAGCGGTCAGATCTGTGGAGTTCACGTGGCTTCCATTGCCCCCGCTTGAGCAGTCCGAGGGCACTGTAGGAATTGGACAGCTCAGACTAATAGAGAAGATGTTAATTACCTTGCCTGGTATACAGGCGGTCGTGGGTTCGATCCCAACACTCACGCCTGTATATTTCAAGTTTGTATGTCCTCCCCGTAGTTGCGTGGATTCTTCCGGTTTTCCCCTCCACGTTTAGCAACATGGGTTTAGAGTATTTGGCTGCGATACATTTGCACATGATAAGCCAATTCGTTGGGATATCATTTGTGGCCAGGACGCTTCTGAAAAAGAGCTATATCGCTCAGTGGGCCTTACTTGGTAAATCAAAGATAACATGATAATTGTTTTTTTACCCTTCTATCTGGCAACAAAACTGACACCTTTTAACAAGGAGTCATGTTTGCATAGACCGCAATACCTGCAGTCGTGATGCAAACAAAAGAACATAACTCTGATAATGAGCATTGTCCTTGAAGTTGATTGGTCCACACCCGAGACAGCTTTCCTTAGAGCCTAGTCTCACATGGGTTGGACCAGATGACGCCAAAAGATGCACAACTCAATGACAATGCCCCATCAGAGTATGAGAGCTCGGGGAAAGCATCTACACTATGGGAACCTCATTTGCCAGTAAAAATATGATAATTGGTTTTTTACCCTTCTATCTGGCAACAAAACTGACACCTTTTTACAAGGAGTCATGTTTGCATAGACCGCAATACCTGCAGTCATAATACAAACAAAAGAACATAACTCTGATAATGTGCATTGTTCTTGAAGTTGATTGGTCCACACCCGAGACAGCTGTCTTCAAGGACAATGCACATTATCAGAGTTATGTTCTTTTGTTTGTATTATGACTGCAGGTATTGCGGTCTATGCAAACATGACTCCTTGTAAAAAGGTGTCAGTTTTGTTGCCAGATAGAAGGGTAAAAAAACAATTATCATATTTTTACTGGCAAATGAGGTTCCCATAGCAAAGATAACATGTTCGGCTAAATATGATGTACAATATCACGTATTCCCTTCAGTGGAATACAAGCAACATGTTTTCTTCTAGAATAATTTTTGTTATAGAAAATACGTTCTTATTATTATGTTTGTTCGTTTAACAAAAACAAAATATAGTCAACACATACTCATCACGGCAAAGTGTTGGGCGAAAATTCAACATTGCTATGACACGGTCCCGATCTCTCCCAAAGGGTCACTCCTGTTGACCTCTCACAAAGTGGTACTCCTCGTACCCCAGAGAGGACGAGTACGGCCAAGCGCAGACCACACCGATCTAAACGTACGGCTGCATTCGTTGTAAGTGTCGAGCTGGTCACGTGACACTTGCGGGAATCTCGTGGCGATTCAACGCGAATAGAATGCGTCCACTGAGTTTTCCACAAAATAAATTTGTGTAACTTCATGCAAGCTCAGTTCTCACCCACGTTCAAGTCAACTTTATCTGTCACCAACAGCAACAATTCATATTTAGGAATGCGTCACGCTTAGGAGTATCTCATCACCTTATGCCTCCCCAATTCTGCGAGTGCTCCCCATCTCGGCCACTGCTTCTAGTCCCACGCAAGGGAAATAGTTTGTGACCACATATACAGGAGAGGATATTATTTTGAATGCTCCATGGCCACTTTGCTCATCCACTTAAGCACAACTCAAAGGGTCCCTCACCTCCAACCCCCACATTTGTCACTCTACAAACGAGTAGTTTGACCAATCAGTTGTCACCCCTTCCACGGCGGCCTAGTCACGCGTCAGTCCGCCCGCGTTATCCCACCGGGTACCAAGGGGGACATCACTTCCACGCCGCTTTTGTGCGACCCTTCAGCCTTTGTTCCGTTTTCTTTGCCAAGGGGGACCATTCTCCGGAGGCAGTCGTCATAGCTGGCAGCCTGCCCTGGCTGCGGGCCTCACTCTTGAGGAAACATTGGCACTTTGTTCGTCTTGACAGGGATCGGGGTCGAGAGAGGCACTCCAAACACGGCTGTCGTCCTTCCCTTCACGGCGTGCGCCGGCGGTCTTTATCCGTCTCGAGGGGCTGTCCAAGAGAAGCGCGCGTGGTGTATTAAGAAGGAGTACAATTTAATGTACTTCAGTGGTCGCACAAGTCCCGACAGGGTTGCCGGGCGGCACTCATTTAGACGAACTGACCGCAACGGAATCGCGACGCGGCTTTGCTGCCTGTGGCCACCACGCGCCGACCGTGCGACGCGACAGTGGCCGCAGATGAAGGTAAAACAACAGTCCAGAGTTCGCGTGCTCTAATGATCTCGAACCAAATTACTCGAACAAGGATCAGAGATCGTCGCCAATACGATGGAGACACTCCTAAACGCGCCTTTGCCTTAATCTGCCTCACCTCCCCCCCCCCCCCTCCCATGTTTATTGTTCCACGGGTCATATTTTGTTTGTACATGTTAAAATAAATACATTCCAGCACTTGCTAAGCTGCATTAACCAATAATTAGTGTCTCTGTTGTGATTTTCACTTGAATGCACGCACACTTTTGGGACTGCTCCCCAGTGGACTTGAGCAAACGGGATATGACATCTGTGGGCAAGATATTTTTTTTGTTTTCTTCTTGAAATATAGCATCTGAGATGCTGCTATTTAACGGTAGGCACACTCGATTTGCAATCTAGAAGTTGGCGGTTCGATCTCCCGGTTCGGCAGTTCGAACAACGGCCCAAGTTCCTTGAATCCACAACGGCCCTCTTCCTAACCAGCAGCGTAGACTCGTTCAGCGCAGTTATTCGATCGGCAGGTTTTGTTTGGCGAGACATCTCTTCCGAGATGTAATAGAGATACAAAGTATCCTCTAGAGCAGTGGTTCTTCACCAGGGGGTGCGTGCACCCCCTGGTGAAGAACCACAGCTCTAGAGGGGCAGTCCAGGGCTTCGCTTTAGTGGAGGCCCTTTAATCAACAGTGACCATAGCAATACTATAAACGAAACTGAAAATTTTACAGGAAAGGCCCGCTCAGCTAAATAGCTCTTTTTCAGAAGCGACCTGCCCAACAAATGATAGCCCAATGGAGTGGCTTATAATGTGGACATTTATAGCAGCCAAATAGTCTAAACGCGTGTTTCTAAATGTGGAAGAAAAAATCGGAGGACCCGGAAAAAAATCCATACGACCACCTCGGGAAGAACACGCAAACTCCAAATATACAGGTGTTGAGGTCGGGATCCATGACCTCCTGTACACCTGGCGAAGTAGTTAACATCTCGCCACCGTGACGACACCCTTGGTCCTGATAGGCAGGTCCTGTTTGGCGGCGGTGAATTCCCACCTCTTCCAAGATGTCTGGTAAGGGTGGAATAGTCATCCAAAATATCCCCATGGAAGGTCAGTCCAGAGCTTCCCTTGAGTGGAGGCCCTTCCGTTAATGGTGGCAAGCGCAATACATCGGAGGGCTTAACTTTACCAATCATCGCATCTGCAGAATTGTTTCATGCAGAACCTACTCAACGAAAACCACAAAAAAATTTCGTGCACATATTTGGACAGGGAATAATAAATATTAGCAGACGATGCTATAATTATTTAGTTTACTATGTGAAATGGGATATGTGTGTGAGGCTTGTGTTTAGTTAGCCAATAAGACTTTTCTTTAGGGCTCAGGAATTTCTATAGCTCATTAAATCCACGGGTTTTTCTGTTCGCTGCCACTTTTGAAAACAAACGTTCTGAACATAAATACGATTTTAGCATAAACAAACACTTTACCACCATCAAAGATTGAACATTTACATTTTAATAACTTGCATACTTGGTTACATAAACTCTGCCAATGCAACGAAAGTTCATGAATTGTATTCTCTTTACAAAAAAAATACATTTATACTTTTAATATTCTTTGCTTTGACCTTGCATCTTCGTCCAAGTTTTGCAGTCTGCAAAATCACGACGCTCCAATTTCAGTGTACATTGTACACAAAGACAAAGATCTCCTGTATAGCTTGAACAGACCGTTGGGGAAAGTGCTGTTAGCGAGCACCTATGAAAGCCAGCACGACGCCCGACCGCCTTTGTCTCTCCAGGAGCAATGTTTACACAACGCACCATGTACCAATTTGAGGCTGAGTCGACCTCTGGGAGGCCCAGGACTGATTCAGATAATCGTCACTGATGTTGGTCATAAGCGGGAATCGAACTCGGGTCGCCGGGGTGGTAGCACAGTGCGCGACCCGCTACACTACCGCTCCCCAGTGGAAACACACAATACCCACAGACACACACCGTCACACACACGCGTGTGTGATGGAGTCCTGCAGGAACACTCTCAAACACGAGCACTGCTCTCCAGAGGACACAGCCCATCTGCTACAGCGTGAACATCACGGCATCCCATGACGCCGTTCGCCACAAATGTGCCTCTTGCACCAGCAAACCAGCTTAGGAAATGATCAGCGACTGCAACAAGTGCACAGCACGGGGCATAAGAACGTCAGAACGCAAGACAGTTTTAGAAACGAGAGGATGGCGAGAAAGTACATTCGGTGGTCTACGCAGCTCGTTTGGTTGTTCGTAGCAGATCGGGTCTCGAATCACATCAAGGCGCTTCTTGAAGGGTCCCGGTGGATCAGCTTCCATGGCGTGTTGCGTGGGCAGTCGGTTCCACACTCCCACCAGAGGCTCTCTGCGTGCTGAACACATCCTGAACACATTCTTCGTCTGGCCTCGGTCCTGAACCCTCCCACACGCAGCTTCTTCCGCTGCAGCCTCTGGTTCTCTCCTCCACTGTGCCGAGCTTGATGTGGGAGTCCGGATCGATATCAGCGACCTGAGTATTAAAGAGATTCGGAATGTTGAGCCTATCTGCGTGTGATTGTCTTTTAGTCATTTGACTTTTTCTTTTTGGGCTCAACAGTGGCGAGACGTTAATTACCTCGCCTGGTATTCAGGAGGTCGTGGGCTCGATCCGGACCCTTGATGCCTGCATATTTGGCGTTTGCATGTCTCTCTCTCTCCCCGTGGTAGCGTGGATTTTTCTCAGGGTCCTTCCATTCTTTCCTTTCACATTTAGAAACACGCGTTTAGAGCATTTGGCTGCAATTCATTTCCACATGATAAGCCACTTCGTTTCGCTATCATTTGTGGCCAGGTCGCTTCTGAAAAGAGCTACATAGTTCAGTGGGCTTTACCTGGTAAAATAAAGGTTTAGTTTCGTTGTTTTAGTCCAGGAATCGCTGTGGTTTTCTCTGCGATGGGACGTCCTCCCCGGGCAGCAATGCCCTCTTTGTACCGCGTTGACCAAAAACTGACCACGAAGCTCCATTGGACATCCCTCCCTCCTGGCACACGTGCTGCATGCAGCCCAACTGTGCTAACCTTGCATCAAAAGAGAGAGACTCTGGGTCTACAATGCCTGCGATGGGTGAGACAGGAATAACCAGAACTCTCACGGCCTTACATATCCTCCTGTTGCCTTTCGAAAAAAAAAAAACACGGCGCTATTTAAGCTCCACATGTCAGAGAAACCCTTGGTTTGTGTGTTTTTTTTGTACGCGTTGCATAAAGGCAGCGCGCAGCTTGCCCTGCTCCCAACAATCAGGACACTGAACCGGGCATTTGAAGGCAGCCCTGGTTATTTATTTATATTGACTTCATTTCAATCGGCTGAGCTGCACACGCCCGTCAATGGAAATCATCCGCAGGGGGTCTGGTGAGCATTAAGCGAGTGGAACGCAGAAATGTCGAGCACCAGAGCCCACCCTCAGTGCTATCAGAACTGCTTTGTCTTTCGTTTTCTGTCCCCCCCACCCACACCGCACCTCCGATTAGCACGGTTGGCTACGTACGGTGCGAACGAAATTGAACATACATGCAGAATGTGGGAATGTGGGCGAGTGAGCCTCCCTCTTGTCAAATTCAAGTCCAAGAACGGCTGGGCTGCCAGTGGTTGTGTTACCTTTGGTGGTGGTTGTGGTGGTTGGGACTTATTATTGCCAGCGCAGTTGGCGAATGGTAAAAGCGAGTAAGCGCCAATTAATTAAAGCCGAGAACACACTCTACACTGCTCGCACACTTTTATCCGGGATATATGGATACGATCAATTTACTGCTCTGTGTAGTCAGCAACTTAAATTGTTCTTCTTCATATCAATCCCATTTTCCCTCAACTGTTAAACAACCATTCACGTACTGCCATTTGAAAATAAAAGTCTTCTAATGCTTTTCGACTTGTGAAGCATGGCATGTCTGAACTGTTCTCAGTACAGCAAGACGAACACGTGTTTTAAATGCTAATATGCAGTTTAAATATTTAATGAGAGCTGATTAGTGCTCATATATCCACATATGCACAGTTGATGAATGTACTCACACACTGACCGTGAGGATCATATCAGCTGTTTCATGTAGATGCAGGAGCACAAATTATGTTTATTATATGATCTTAAGTTAAATAACTTTAGCGTTTTCCAAAACGGAATTTGCTTCTCTTTAACAGCCACCGCTGACATCGCGTGCTCTGATTTATGCATTCGTTTTACAGTAGTGACCTAATTAGAGCAGTCCGTGATTGGTTTAGAATCTGTCACATGTAGCTTATGTCCACTTAAAACCGATGCACCGACTTGTGAATGCATTTGTTGGACAAACTACATTTTCATTTTGCTCACGAGTAGTGTAAGTTTATTATTATCAAGGATGTGTACATTGTTATTTTCGACGTATTTTTTTGATTTGTTTATTGAATAAAAACGTGAATTGGAAGCCGGCAAAACGCAATGAATGAAGATTGCCCGAATGCAGCCGGCATTTGTGTTCGCACGTTTGTGTTGCAGGCGAAGGGTTTGGACGTGAGCGCATTCCGCGACACGCGAGACCCAAGCCTGAGCCAAATGAAATGCCTCCTCGTCGTGATTCTGCTGAGGGTTCAGCGGAGGTCAACTTACAACGGCATGTCTCTCTTGGCGGTAATCTAATAACCTCCCGAGTCAGGTCTGGGTAGTTGCGTTCAGGTGAGAACGAAGCCAACCGCTGACCATGTTCTAAGCTCATATCTGAAATTGAGGGCCTGCGTTTGTGGCTGGGCTGAACGATGCACAATGTAAAAACTTAACTATGTTTATTTTATCAGGCGAGGCCCACTGAGCTCTACAAATTATATATCAACTTAGTGGCTTATCATGTGGAAATGCATTGCAGCCAAATCCTCTAAACGCATGTTGGTTCTAAATGTGGAGGGAAAAAGCCGGAGGACCCAGAGAAACATCCACGCGACCACGTCCCCATGCAAACTCCAAATGTACAGCAGGCGTCATGGTCGGGATTGAACCCACGACCTCCTGCAAACCAGGCGAGGTAGTTAACATCTCGCCACAATGGTACCCGGTGTACTGCATCACTCTGCCAAATAATTCCATATGCCTGTACAATGTCCTTCGATGCACCAGGCCGGCTAAAAGTATATGTGGTGTAGGTGTGAGCATTTTTAATTTGCAAGCGTGGGATGGGAATGACTAAATGAAGATCAACAACGTTTCACCTTCCAAGCGGTGTGAATTTAGTCGGCAGGTTATTCTCTTGAGTCCTCGTCGAGTCACCAAGAGCCAGTGGAAGTTCAGTCAAGTTTAAGTCTGTGGATTTAGTCTCCACTCTTTCACATGTCTGTATTAGCCGTATTGTTACCTGCATATAACGAAATACAGCGAAGAAGCATACAATAAGGCCTCATCTCACAGATCCGCCCCTCCACACCAAAAATAATAAAAGTGATTTTCACAGCTCCCGCAGCATCCGGGAGACGATCTTGCCTTGCAAAACAAAACAACAACAACCCCCCCCCCCCCAGCCAAACTTAAATCTTCTGGAAAGAGCCAAAGAGTAAAAAATAAAAAAAAAACTTCCCCTTTCAGAATTCACGGAGGAGCCCCCCGCAAAAACGTTTCACAGGATCCACAATGGCATTAAAATGTGCCTCGAGATAACTTAGCAAAGGGACACACACACAAGCGTTGCGATGGGCTGCAACAACACGAGAGCGAGTGGCCTGTAGTCCAGGCCATTGCCGTTAATATCATGGCAGTGAAGGCTGATGACAGCTGGACAATTAGTCCAGCAACAACGTCGCTGAGGTGTAGAGTGAGGCCGATCGTCACGACCGAGGTTATCATCTGCCAGTATGATCAACAGCTCCGTCGCGAATAATCAGCAATAGACTGACGATTTAATCCACTGTGGTAATCCCGGTCATTGTGTGGAAACAGACATCCCACTCGTAAACAAAATAATTAAATTGTACTGGAAACAATAAACTAAACCAACCTTCATTTTTCCTGCACGTAAACATGTGTAGTCGATGTATCTTTATATGTTGGCCTTCTAAACACTCTATACTTATGTTAAACAGGAGCATGTATTTAAGCTTCAAAACATGGATGGGCTTTAGACATTCGGTTCTCAACAGCAGCCACGCTTATTGGCCTGAGTATCATTTATTAGCCTGACCTCTTCACTGCTGATGAGACCCAAAAGGCTGAAACTGGTCCAAAGTTTTTCTCACTAATGTAGCTTTAAATGCATGCGTTACAGTCCATTGTGTTGTATATTCATTTAACGTTAGGCGGCTGCCTGGATTTTAACCGATGTAACCAGTGCACCCAAACCATTTATTACCACAAAAAAGAATACACCATTGAACTCCCAATGCACCTCTTTTTATACATTCTTAGAATGTAACCGAAACTTAAAAATCAGCGGTAATATTAAGCGGGCATTTTTCTGAGTTTATTTTCCCGACCTCTACAGAAGCCACACACATAAAGCGGGCTTTATTCATACACTCTTATTCCAGATTTAAAGAAAAAACCCAGCTGTGCCCAGTTTCACACTGCAAGTGGAAGCACTGGTGACTGCCAACCGTTACCATTAACACGAGAACGAACAGAAGGACATTGTGGAGCCTGTATGCCAGCGTTTATTACGCGCACCCCATTACGGGCATGTGACACCATAAAATACAGTACATTAAGTTTCATTCTTTCTCGTGACCTTCCAAGTACACCCAGCCCAGTGAGCTGAACCACATGAGGTGTGCCATTATAAAAACACAAACACACACACACACCTACGACTCTCGTACCTGATGACTGAACACAACGCGGGCTTTTAGCTACAACTCCATAATACGACCCGGTTTTCTTTCATGGTGTAAAGGAGTGCAAAGAACGTGATTGTCAGGAACTTTCAGGAGGGTTGCCCTTCAGCGGTGCCATCTCTCTCTGGAGGAGGTCGCATAACAGAGGGCTCGTAGCGCTTTGCTTTAGCTGCGACGAGCAGCGTTCAAATTGTCGGTCAATCGATCGATCGTTTCTTTATTTCTTTACGTGCCAAATCTCGACCACGATAAAGGAGGCATCGGTGCACGTTGCGACGCGTTGAGTGCATCGGGTGGGGAAATTGGATTTGTCATCCGTTTTCAATTCGTTTGTTTTTGTTTCCGGCACGGCAGTTGAAACGTTCTCGAATCGATCTTGATTTGATGCTTTCGTGACTGCAGGAATCCATACTCTTTGGTTCTATCGGTAAAGTGACGCAGGTATAAAATAAAATAAATCACGACGTTTTCGGGCGCAACACAAGCGTCCATTATCAGGTGGGAAAGCATTGATCTGCTGCTGAGGCAGACTGTTGTTTTGACTGCACCTGCGATGCGTCCTGTTCCGATGTTGCCCATTCCTACGCACGATCCACTTTGACGTTGTCGTTGTTGTTGTCGTTGTTGTTGTCGTTGTTGTCGTTGTTGTCGTTGTTGTCGTTGTTGTTGTTGTTGTTGTCGTTGGCCTGTGCCGAGGCAGCACCGATCTCCCTTGCAAAACGAACCGGGTACCTGGCCAAACGGAACTTTCAATGTAACAATTACATTTGATTGATTTATTGATTGGACACGTTCATTCTAAAATTGTTTTCACCTCTTAAAATTGCCCCCCGCCCCCTCCCACACACATCGGTCCATGAATGTATAAACAGATTCGTCAATCGGTGGGGTGGCGTGTGGTGGGGATAGGGCAAACCCCGACGATTCACTTAAACAGACAACACACAATCTCATTCGTTATTGCGTGGCTTGTTATTGAAGGCCCTTGTGGAAGAACGTGCGCGTACATATGCAAAGTCAATTTCAAACAGTGCCGTGGTGTAATCGTTTATGATGCTAGATGTTTCAGCTGTTTAAATGTTTACTGAATTACTTTCTGGACCAGGCTTTCCTTGCAAATGAGACTTCTGGATGGAATAAATTGTGTACCGATGTGCCTACATAACGTTTTCTTTTTTAAGCTACATTAGCAAATTACAGTTCAGCAGAAACAGTTGTTGCAATTAAAAAAATAATCAGGAAACAACTAAATATATCCTTGCCAAATTCGAGAGGAGCGTGTAATGCAGGGCTGTGTTGTATTTGTGAGAAAAAGTCAGCCAACTTCCTTTCGCCTTTTTGGTGTTACAGTTGAACGAGCCCGATGGACATGCAAATGAAATAAATGTTTGCGTACAGAATTCCGTTGTGTTTTGGAGCAAAGAACCACACACTGTCAGGCACAATTTCGATCCAGTATTCTAAAGCCTCCACGGGCAGATATGGGTTTCGCTGTTATGAAAGAAAAAAAACGAAACCTGAACATCTGGGGTTATTTTTTGCAGATGGACAGCGAAGAAGGGGTGGCCTCGTTACAACTAACTTCGTACTTGTGCAAAAGTGAATTTGGTGCGTTAGCAAGTTACATCTTGATCCTTTCAACATTGTTGCACTACAGAAGCTGTAAATCATTGTTACACTACAGCAACTGTAGATTGCGAGTTTATTTTTTGAGGGGAATATCCAAACAACATCAACAACAAAACACTCGGGTGCTTATATTTACCATTCTGCCGGTCATTGAAAGCATACCTGCCGTGTTCCCCATCTCGGAATTCAGCCGCCTAGTGCATGTCTTCTTCGAACGCCGGGGAGCCGGAAAAGCCCTCTGTAGCAGCGTGGACGGCACCCTCGTGTTCACCTTCTGAAGCGCTCGCTCGTCACCGTGGCGTGCGCGATGAACACCACCACCACCACGTGACTTTTTTTCGTGTTGTGCGCGGTGCATTTAGCGCCACAGCGCGTGGATTTATAGCGTTTACTTGTTTGCTGGTGACTGTGTATTTCATATCGGAATCGCCTCCAGTGCTGTTGCTGCTGTCGGCAATAAAAGTTGTTTAAGTCAAAAGCCTATAAAAAGCTGGGCACCGTAGGCAAAGGCCATTGAAAGCATCAGCCCCTGGCAGCACGGCAACGGGATAATCAAACATCTTCTCTTTCCCAACTCTCAGACGACCACGCAAGTGCGCGCACGGCAAGGGTTTGGCAATGCGCGCTGCCGCCGTGGGTTCTACGCTGAAGAACACCCCCCGATTGTCACGGTCGGCTAGGCACGGTGCGAAAGAAGTTCAACGGACGTGCGTACACACCGACGAAGAACATTCGCAGCGAAAGAATGGCCTGTAAATGAATGCTTCTTGGATTGCACCTTGCCCAGCCTTGTGCGTCGGGATTCAGAATGCGTCTCGTTCAGAATGTTTCACTTGTTTTTGTATCGTCCTCCACTGCATCATCGTCGTTGTCGTCACTGCAATTTGCATTGCACGTTTCGTCGTTTCTTTCAGTCACAATAGAGCAGTGGTTCGTAACCTGAAGATGCCCTTTCTGTGCGAGACAGGGACAGCTTTTATTAGAAGGTAAATAATCGAAAAACAAATTAAGCACAGGCATGTAAGTACAACTACGTTGCTTCATCACACCTATGCATTTATTAGCGTTCTACTTTTTTTACGATTGAAAACCAAAGAGATGCAAGGCTGCAGTAAAGGCCAAGAACCACTGCAATCGAGATTGAAGTTCTTAAACCGCTCACACGTGTGCACCTTGGGAACGCAGCATCCATGCAGGGGGCAATGGAAGCGCGCGGTATTTAATTGTGGTGCAGGGTCCTAGCTCTCCGAGCTTGCGTTTCAGAAAATATCGCCCCAACTCTCCCTACCAACCTCAAACGTCACGCCACCACGGTCAGAGAGGGGAGAGGCCAGGGGTTGTGGTGCCACGGAAAATATTCCACGGGAGACGGAAGCCCGCGCGTGTGGGTTGTGTTTGTGTTGTTTGTGTTGTGTGTGTGTGTGTGTTGTGTGTGTGTTGTGTGTGTGTGCTGTGTTTGTTGTGTGTGGGTTGTGTTTGTGTTGTGTGTGTGTTGTGTGTGTTGTGTGTGTGTTGTGTGTGTGTTGTGTTTGTGTTGTGTGTGTGTTGTGTGTGTGTTGTGTGTGTGTGTGTTGTGTGTGTATTGTGTGTGTGTTGTGTGTGTGTTATTTGTTTACACGCGCGCGGTGTGTTATGTCCATAGCCTACAACACGAATGTCACGTGGACATCATCACCGTGCAGCGTCGTCGTAGATTGAAAACTAATTTCTGTAGAACTGTATTCTTGGTTATTTCGGTGAAGCCACGTAGATAGAAAACAAAAATGAAATTTAAAAGCAAAAAAACCCACGACGTTTCGATCGCAATGCAAGCGATCTTCTTCAGGCGGAGAGAAAAGAGGGGGGGAGCTTCCAAATGCAGCTGCTTGTAGAACTGCTTGCTGCCGCTGTTGTTGTTGTTGCAGCTTCATGCTGTTGTTGTAGCTTGATGCTGTTGTTGTGTTTCGTTTGTTCAACGCACATAGGTGCATTCGTGTCTCCGCGACCTTCTTCCAAATGTGGCGTTCGTCTCAATACAATCCCATTTGGTTCATGTGCATTTAACATTATCGCAAGACACGCACTTTAGTCCATGAGCCGAGACCAGATGTCTTACACGTCGTTACCACTTAAGGTGGCAGATCTTTCGTGGTTCCAATTTCTCACGTGGCCAAAAACAGTGAATTATGCGATACGCACTTGAATCGAGTGGGTAATCAAATAAATCGCCCTTATAAGCCATGCAAATAAATGGGTACGCCTATGGTTTTGCTAACTTAGTTGGAAACCGTTTCTGCCCTGGCCAATGGACTAATATAGAGTACAGCCATACAGACTGTTAGCACAAATGCTGTTCGCATCGATTAAGGCTGGGGTGATGCACAAGGGGGTGGTGGCGGCCAACACCACGCACGGCCGCCTTTGTCTACCCAGGGCTGATGTTTACATATCGCACCAGGCACTCGCTTAAGGCCACCGTATGAACCCGCTCTCAACACGCGTACGTGTGCTGCTTTAAGTAGCGTGAGCATTTTCGCACAGCAATGGCTTGGCCTCCTCAGGTAACACGGGGCGGTTAAAGTCCCTGGCTCACATTGGCAGTTGTCAACAGCTATTTAGAGGCGCTCCCAATGTCCCACCCATTAACACCCCGCCAATCCCCACGTCGCCTCTTTCCCAACAACCGCCCACGCCCCACAAACTCCTCAACGCCACCAGCCCGGCGTTTCCCCCTTTAGCAACTCCACATTCTTTCTTACGTCCGTCATCGAGCTGGTAATTGCCAAGCGGAATGCTCTGCCGCCGTTCCAATTTTTATTAATCCGCACAAGAATGTAAGACTCGCACGGACGCACGGCGATTGCGCCCTAGCTGTCCACGCTCAGTGTCCAGGACATCGGTAGACACAACAAAAGCGCGGCGTAGCAGGAGAGAGAATACGGCGTGACCACGTGGCCCTCTCTCTCTCACTGCTGAACCACCGGTCACGGACACAGTGCACAGGCCCTGTGCGGAAATCCAATCCAGACGCTGAGCTGCGGCAAGGGGAAGACACGATTTAAATGCGAGCACCGTCAAGGACAATGTTATCATCTCTCCATTGGGAACATCCGATATTGACAATATCCATTTTATTTGTACAACCATATGGGGAGTAGTGTAATTCTGAGCCGGTGACCCGAGTTGAACTCCTAACCGCGGCGAGCATCAGTGGCGAGTGATGTCGGAATCGGTCCTGGGACTCTCCTTAAACCAACTGACCAGTGTGGTGAAGTATGGTCAAACTCCAATGGCCGACAGTTTGGGGAGGCATTTGGCCAGTAGTGGACTGACTGCGAACTCATGTATAATTATTGCAGCAAATAACTGCGTTTTACAACACAAATGAGAATAACTGGCAGCTGCAAGATTTAAAGTTGACTCCATTCAAATCGATTGGCTCAGTGGCAAGTCTACTGAGCAATGAGCTTCCAAATTGCCCAATAAACACAACATAAACCACAGATCAATACATAGCTGAATGAAGCAAAAGGTTTTACTTGGGAGAGAGTGGGGGCATCCTCGATACAGATTTAATAGACGTATTTTTAAGGTCTGCGTGTGAACCTGATTACACCATGGATGCTGACGGATGACATTTGTAACATGCCAACATTACACCACATTGCACCGAATGTAAAAGTCAAAATGTGAAACTGCGGTCGACTAATGAAGAGAGGAGCGCGAATTCAACTGCCGCGTTGCTTTCCATCGATTTTTTTTGTTAAACCGTCACGAGCTATATAAAGTTCCTGGCACTCAAGAGAACCAAAACATCTGCTACTTTTTTTGTAACTCTCAGATGCCCTCTTGTGTGTTGATTGGCGACAGCAGCTCTAATCTGACTGTCAGCATCGTGGCACAAAACAGCCACCTGCCACAGACCGATGCCATGGCACTGTCTACCACAAAAGGCGTGGACGGCTACGTACACTTTCCCAGCCACCCCACGGTTCGCCCTAGCCTAGCCTGACACTCTTGTCACGTCGACGTTCTACTTCAAGTTTCACACATTGATACGCCACGGTTACTAAGCGTTTTGAGGACATCATTCTAATAATGCGATATTAACTCTCTGTGTGAAGATTTCGTGAACGAGTTCAACGAGTTTTGATCCCGACGTTTGTACTACTTCTTTGACGATGTCGACAGTTGTGCCACTTAATCCGAGGGCTTTGCCCCGTTTCACACTGCGAAGGGCCGAGTTGACTTAGTCGCTCGTGACATCCGGCACTGTCACCTCTACGCCTTCGAGTTGGTCTGATTCCTGGGATGTACGCTGTTAAAAACCAATGCACAGTCACGTCAAAAAGAATCACTAAGTTTGGCACGTCAATCTACCGCGTGACCACCTCTCATATTCGACAGACAAGTATTTTGGATATATTATTGGCAATGCGGTTGACATATAGCAAAATGAAGGTTAGCTCAAATGTCAAACAGAGCCAATCATATTTTAGTTGTATATGTGCTTCAATTCTAAAGCAGCAAGGTTTAACTTCTTACGACGGTATAAGGTTTGTGTAAAAACTTGGATAAAGGACAAAAAATGTACACCGCTCAATATTTTACTTAATGCGCCTTCTTATGACTGCATAATATGACATCGTGGACTAAATCAGCCCTGTACATTTACATTATATACAGCAATTCGAAGTGTTGCTGCGTACGAAACGTATCAAGCTTGACAGACGCGTTCAAGCATGGCGTTTATAATGGTTTCGCGAATGGATATTCACCGTGATTTGCAGTTAAACTTCCTCGTGCTAATATGTCAACCGCATTTGCAAATTATATTCAACGTATCAATTGCAAATGAAAAACGTTGAATAGCAAATGAAAACGGTGGGGGTGAACAAAAGAAGCTCTTTGACACAAAGCGATGTTTGTGCTTCATTGGAAGACCGATGGGGCAACGCCTTGGCTATTGAGTTACCCCCCCTCCCCCATCCACAACTGTACTTTCCGCTCAATTTTATTTTCGAGAAAGGCCGTTCATTATTTGCTCGCACATGATTTCGTTGCACGGAGGCGAGAGAGACGGGAAGAGTACAATTTATGGGGCCCCTCCAACGAGAGGAAGAAAAAAAAATGTTTGGCCCAAGGCACCTCCTGCCCCTGCCGTTCCAGCGACGAGTGCACGGAGAACGAACAGCAGCGCCTCCCCCATCTACTGTCGCTGCCTGGGCGGTTTGCAGGGGAGTGGGTGGTGGGACACATGGAAGGAGCAAGCAGGTGTCCCGGTTTCGTTTACGTAACACTTGGATGAACCCACGTGGGGTGTGCATCGCCTGTGCACGGACTATCCTTCAAATTCTGTAAATTGCAATCTGATCCAGCGGCAGATGGATTCAAGCGGGGTGGGGGGGGGGCACGGTGGGGATGATCGCTCCCACCCCTCGCTCCCCATCCGTTTAGATGATTTGGTTGCCGCTATAAATTTCCACTATGATATAAGCCACTTCGCTGAGCTATCATTTTGTGGCCAGGTCGCTTCTGAAAAATAGCTACACAGCTCTGTGGGCCCGACCTGGATAAAAAAAAATACAGTTTAAATATTTTAGTTCATCCCATCATCCCTTAACATCCTGATAATTGGTATTTTATTGATATTTACCAAGGATAATACGTTAACTTGTCTTTCTTACGTAGAGGAGTATTTCTAACGCTTGACATTTCGGGACAATCCCACTCCATTTGGTAACATTCTCGATCCACCGATTAACAGATCTGAAATGTGCATCCCGTTTTAATCGTTAGTGGCGCTGTTATTCGGGGTTGATGAAAACGAATATGACCTCGGAGCAGCGACCTTGTTGCGAAAGAGCGCCCGTGTAAGGAAGCTTCATTTTATTGCAATACTTATTGTGATGAAAATGTGGAATTTCCACCACTGGGCTCTGGGCCGATAACCGAGATGGTGGTAATCCTTTCCGCGCGCAGGGACACTCTGAGCGGCCGTCTGCTCGAAGCCTTTTGCATTCCCGTCGTAAATATAGCGTGACGCATGGACGCAGAGGCTGACTCCTTCCTGTTTAAAAGACCTGGGCTCAATTCCAGTCTCTAAGGGCCCAACGCCCAATTCTTAGAGTTGTACATTTTCTCGGCAAAATGGCAATAGCAAGTCTAATTACTCTTAAAGGTGGCGATATGGCAGTACAGCAAGTAGATGGCTGAACTGACTGTACAGGTGGATTATCATCCTCTTGGGCTTTATAGCCACTCGGGGTATATCTCACATGCAAAAAAGAGTTATTGTGAAATTTTCCAAACTTTCCAATGCAGTAATCCTCCTTAACATACAAAAAAAACTTTTAAACGCAGCGAAACTTCCACAGACAAAGAGCTGTTATTAATATTTATTGCCACCTTACGTACTGTGTGACCTTACTATAAATCAAATGCTTGCTATTGGCATTCACCATCCCATAAGGATAACGTGTAGGGAAGTCCCGAAAGATAAGTGTGTAAGGCACGCAGACCCTCCATCAATTGCGTGACGACTTGCAGATGAATTTCGATTTAAAGCTTTCGTGACTGCAGGGATTCATCTTCTTGGTTCTTTCGGTAAAGTCACGTAGAAGGGAAATAATACAATAATAATAAAACATAATAAAATAGTATAATATAATAATATATTATGTTATTATGTTTAATTTTTATTATTTTATTATTTCCCTTCTACGTGACTTTACCGAAAGAACCAAGAAGACTTGATGGTGCTGTAAATTCGTCACGTGTTTTGCTGCTCAGATAATAGCAAGAGTTCAACAATTTTCTCCTTACGATACGCCCCTCTTACATTTGTTCACATCGCTTTTATTGTCACAGCATGTTCAGGGTCTCCACACCAATGGAAGACCGCAGCGAATTCTGCGAAATACAGAGTTTTCATTTCTTGTTTTAACCGAAAGGTTCTTTGAAATCTTTCAACTTTTAAACAGCTTTGAGCCACATGTTGCATTTGAATATCCTGTCTGGTGCTGTCTAGTCATGTCGAGTCAATGCAATTTAAAATCACACTTTCTACACGTATGCTTTTAAAAAATATATATATAAATAATGACACCACCCACTACCATCGCGAGCGTCTGGTGGAATACAGCATTCCCATTTTAACATTTTTAGCATGTGACAACCCCATACGCAGAAGTCAAAAGTTAATTTAATTCAAGGGCTTTTATAACGCCTTACGTCAGTGACAGCTGTAGCACCAGCGCATGTTAATGTGGAGTGCCACGACCATGCCATCGCTAGCAGAGGTCAACAATGCCTCCCCCCACACTCACTCGCACGCGCCTCTGCCGCTTGGCACTGGCCGAAAGTATATTGAGCTGAGAACAACATTTACGTTAAATTCAGATCGCCACGATCACTTATTTCAACATCCGCATTTAGTAAGGCCCTTGCGAAAGCAAACGGGCCTGTTGCGGTTCCTATTGTTTTCTTGTTGTTGTTGTTGTTGACAAACGCATCCCAGATGACTACGAACCGCGTCACTGTCCGTCTTGAGGTTTCCACGTGCTCGGCCAATGTGTGAACCCACTGTTGCCAACACCTGCTTGCAACGTGCAAAGAGACACATATCCAATGACCTTTTAGGGAACCTTGTCCGAGCTTAAACGAGACTAGTCTTTTTTTGAGCTTGTAAGTGGAATTTGAGGTCGGAAACGTGGAATCAAACTTTATCAGGCTCCGCTTACAACCATCCACAACACCATTCTTTCTTTATTTCTTCCACTGCCAATCTTCAACGTCTCATCGGCGACAGGATAGCACCGAGTTTGTCCGGCAAGGGGGGTATTTAGGACGACCAAAACGTTTCGCGAAATAATTCCACTGCCGCTTAAATTGTTACTTGCGATTCCCTTACACTGGGGTGGAGTGCGGCGGTGTGGTGCAGTGGGTTGTACACACTGTGCCATGAACGCGGCAAACCGAATTGGATTCCCAGCCGCGGCTAAAGTCGGCGACGGGTGAGATCGAAATTTGGTCGAGGTACGTCACCACCTCCCAGCCGTCAACAACTAGTTTGAAGTATGGTCACGCATCCTACGTGGCGAACTTGGCGGGGGGGCATTTCACTACGGATGAATTGGGTTGTGCAACTCCCCCGTTGCTGGTGTTAGGACCACCGCAGTAAAATATTGCAAGTAGCTTTTTTCTCTCTCGCGTAAAATTGTTGTATTGTTCATCCACCCCTTTATGTATGTAAAAAAAAACATTGTATTCCTGAGTATGCCCATGTAACATTAAGTTACATTATTCCACCAGTATGTTCAAAACGTTAATATTCGTAAAAATATATATTTAAAATATATAAAACTTATACCTGAAAGCGAGAGCATATTTAGACGCGTTTCTTAGAACCGGCTATAAGTTACTTCTTAAAATACAAAATGACGCTCGTACCATCTAAAGCACGCTGCTTTCGAACAATTCCTTGACTTCTAAGAATTGACAGCAACTGCATCATCGCCATGATGGGAAGCAAGCAGTACCTACTGTTATTGCGAACAGATCCACATGTCTGGGATATATAAAGCAAGCCCTCTTACGTCCGACAGTCAAGAGAGACATTTTACAGAGCCAGACACAGCTTTCTATAATTTCCTGGCACGGTAACTCATCCAATGCCATTCATCAGCGACGAGTGGATAACCCTACCTCGGGCCTATTTACGTGTTAAGTTCTGCCTTGCTAGATCAGCACGTGCGTTCATATAATACCAAGAAAATAATTAGAAACTTATATTACACGGAAGCAAAAGTAAACAATAAAAGGGAGTCATTGTTTTACCAAATTGAAATCCATATTTATTTCCACTTTGGTTAGCGATATATTTCAATAAAAAATAATTGCTACATTAGCTACAGAATGGGCTAAAAAGAAAAACAGGCAATTCATCAAAGCTTTTCAGGAAAAGGTCGACATAAATAAACCCAGGTGCACATAGCAAGATTCCGTGAGAAATTAACTTCATATATTGCTTTACAGTCCTTTTTAACTGAGGCTATGTACGTATAAATGCGATGTGTAAACTCAAATCCTACATTAAAATTTCAAATGTCTGCATTAATGTCGCTCTTTAAATAACATTCACCTTATAACTTTACATGTACAAGTGATGACATTTTTAACGATTTTTTTTGGAGGCTTTTGGCGTCATCTGGTCCAACCCATGTGAGACTAGGCTCTAAGGAAAGCTGTCTCGGGTGTGGACCAATCAATTTCAAGGACAGTGCATACATTTTCAGAGTTGTGTTTTTGTTTGCATTATGGTTGCAGGTATTGTGGTCTATGCAAACATGACTCCTTGTAAAAAAAGGTGTCAGTTTTTTTTTGCCAGATAGAAGGGTAAAAAAACAATTATCATATTTTTTACTGGCAAATGAGGTTCCAATGGTGTAAAAGCATTCTTAGTTTAATAGTTCATCAAACCAACCGTGCCGAGCCACCATTCCTGGAGAAAGCCAATTAAAGAAAAAAACCATCAGCCGTCACTAAATTATGAAATCGCGTGGTGGCTCTGGTGTCAGGATTTGGCAGTGCCAAATCCTCTGTTCAGTTCTGGTAACCAAACCGCGATAAAAATGTGTTCACGACTTATAGCGAGCTGATGTTTTGACGGCTATACAAAATGTCCAGGTCATATGTTACATTCGTTTTTGTTTATCCATCACTTCAATTGGCGCGTTCCAAGTTTGATAGTTAAAATGCAAATCATTATTCAACCAAGCCGCGGCCTTCAAATAAAAAAATATATATATTGGTGACGTTTCAGGCAATGGCCGTTCTCCACAGCACATAAAAGGAGATGCTCAAGAGATAGAGTGGATACATTAAGGTTTGAGACTGCACTTTACACCATCGGGTGATAACTAAAAGTAGGGTGTCGGGTATCAAAAAGTATTAATGAACACATTTCTATTACAAGTAACATACTTGTGCCACACAGACAATTAACAGAAATACATAAATTGTATTGATGTGGAGAACTCATTGAAGGGTGTGCACCTGCGTGGAAAAAAGTCTCTTGAAGCGACTTCAAAAGTAGTTGTGTGACATCGTCTTCCAAGGCCTTTCTCTCCGCCACAGAGCGAAAGCTCTGAGCAGGAACATCTTCATCTCACGACATCACGCAAGAGACATCACAATTGCAAGACCGTACCAAAGGAAGAAAACAATCTAAACATTTCTGAACAGCCGAAGCAGATGTCCATCGGGCCAGGTGACCGCCTCACCACAACCACAAATATTATGGCTCTGGCAAACCTTGCCAGCCCGACTCCTGCGCGACTATTGTGTCTGCTCCATCCGGCCCCCATTCCTGAACTAATCCTGGAGGGAGCAGTCCCCCCCCCCCCCCCAGCCGAACAATCTCGCAGATTTGGTCCGACACCTGCAAACTCGTTTTGAATCACGCCCCAATCGCGTAACGGTTTCGAGAGCGGGACTGGAGGTGCTCAACACGCGCGAAGGGATTGACGTCAAATGCCTTTGACGGCGCGTGAATGTTGCGCGAAGACCGCGTGCCTCTGACGATCCGTGGGCCCTGCCTGTGCGCCGCTAATCGCCGACGCGCGGTACTCGTGAACTACGGTCTGTCGCGCGCGAGTCGCGTGGGAGTGTAAGCGGTGCCGAGCTTTGCGTTAGTGTCATTTGCGTGCCTCTCGTCGACTGAGGAAGTAAAATGATGGGAAATGTTTCAGATAACGAGTAAAAATAACCAATAAACACAAAGGAACAATTATATTTAAGATCAAAGGCCTTAGTTAAATCTTTGTACCCAAAGTGTTTCTTTATTTTAACGTTGTGTATGTTTTCATTTTACAGAATCCCCGCTGAGACAAAATGAAATTCCAATGTTAGCACTCTTTTAATGCTACCAATACTCACAAGGTCACTTACTCTAACACTTGAGCTTTTAATCTTTCTATCGCTTACACCAATGGCTTTCAAAACAACATTGCACCCTTTCATCATGAGATGAACCTCATTATAAACCACAAACCACGTCAATATTCAGACAATGTCAACAACACAAGTTGTCACACACAACACGCACACACAACAATGATTTCTTGAACCGATGTGTTTTTATCAGGTAGCATATTCAAATATCACGCGGATGAACATATTGTGCGTTTAATGACAAAACAATTAAGGATAATCTCACGAGGAAGCATTTTGAAGCATTCACATCATTTGACTTGTCCGATCGTCCGGCACAGCTGCCTCTGGTCACTGATGAGAGAATTTGCTCACCGGACTTCTACGGGAGACAGTGACATGGTCGAAAAGTAGCTCGTGGTTCGAGCCCATGGCAGCCCCGGTAAATACGAACCGTAAATACTGCTGCGCTGTCCGCCTTCGCAGTGGACGTTAAAGACCCCACGATGTTATTCAGGAAAGAGGAGGCCATGTGTTTCAGCGCCACGTTGTAATTTGGGATTAATTTACAGAAATTTGGTAAATTGCCCCACAAGTTACTTAATTGGGAAAAGCCGCAGAGCAACCAACTACTGGCAGAGTAACGGGGGGCGGATTTCAGGGAGGTGCTGCATTGATCTTGTGCCGCACAGGGACAGCTGCCACTTGGGGTGCCCCCTTAATAGGCAGCACGGCACCTTAAGACGTATTGCAATAAGCGATGACGGCGATGACGGCGATGACAGTTATTTCGTATAAAGAGGCTCTCAAATCGACCCCTGCAAGCCTTGCGCATCTCACACAATCTGGGCGAAGTCCAATCCGGCTCAGTCAACACACCTCACGCTTCATCATCTCCCCGAGGCACACGGTGGCATAGCACGACGAGGGCAGATCAAGGGTGATGACCAGGGAGGAAGAGGAGCCAACAGCAAAAGCCTCCTCTGAGCCCAAAGTCTCAGGGATGCCACTGCCATTGCCCGCGGACGCCTCCTCCGCGTCAAATTTAGCGTCGGCGCCTCCTCCAGGAGCCGGCGAACAGCTTCGCGACGCCCGACTCCCCGATTTGCGGTCGCCTGCGGCACCGTCGCCAGATGCCGGGCGAGCAGATTCCGTGGCCTCGAGGCCGAGGCCGTGGGCCGCTCTCGACGAAGAGAGGCAACTCGCGCGACCGGCGGTACCCGGGAGACTCCCACCCTCCGTGTTCTCCGCCGGGTCGGCGGCACCGGCTCGGCCGGCGGTCTCGGCGCGGCCGATGCGGAGGGTGGCGCCGGGCAGGCCCTGCCCCGTCCAGGCGAGAGAGACGTTGGAGGGGCGAGCCAGGAGCCGGCGGTAGGCGCCGGGGAGGCTGACGCGCAGCTCGGCGACGCGGAAGGCGGAGTCCGCCAGGCCGTCCCGTCGCAGCGTGGCCCGGTAGGCCTCGCCCGCCTCGTTGTCCGGGTACCGCACACTGCTGCCCGGCATGGGCAGCACCACCTGGTGGGTTGGCAGCGCCACGGATTTGTTCGCGAGGCGGATTGGAGACGTGCACATCCGCGCGACGCGCGGCGATTACCGCCGCCTTTTAAAATGTGATTACCGCAAGGCAATGGCGTGGGTTAGCGTGGCGATTGCACGCGGTGCAACCTGCCAATTGTTGTGCTGCATATGATTTCAAGTGACATTTAAGGGCTTCAACTATATTTGAGAATCCCTCTCGTGGACAATGTTTAAAAAGATTGGTAATCTAATGCCAGAGCCAGTGTTCAATTATTCAGGGTAACTGGGGAAGAGTGGTTAGTGTCTCAGATAAAACAAAAACACAGATACAACAAAACACAGCTCAAAGAGACGATATGTTTACCCAAGCAGAATGGGGATGAATAAGTAGAATGTGTTTTCTGTGTTTATTGTTTATCTGACTAATATGTAAGTGAGTCACGAGCTCGGCATAGCTAATTACAGAAGCAGTACACGTAATAGGCACTCATTAGCGTGGAATATCGCATCTTCATTACTTATTTCACAAGCACGGTTCATCCACCACTGGATATAATTCACCCATAGATAACGTTTATTGTACATTGAAACCGATAAACGTACCCCCCCCCCCAAAAAAAAAATCTGCAATTGAATGTCAAGACATCTGCTTCCAATGTTTGGTCAATTCCTTTATTCTGCCAGACAATTTTAAGCATGCAAACAAGAAACATCTGCATGGCTAGGTCAAACGCCTACTTTCTGTGCTGTCTTAAGAAGGCAGCACATCCTAAACCACAAAGTGCGTGTGTGCATTGCCGGACGCGAGCTGTGCAGCACTACACCTGGCAGTGATACGCTCGAATGCACGTCCATGCAATGTTTGCATCGAAATATAAAAATGTCTACAAGCTGAACTCGTGTCTCCACGTAGAAATAAAGTGTGCGTTTCATTCATCTGCCTATTGGCTTCCAAGACAAATGTTCATCAAACATACATTCATTAAGCAGGCAAAGTGTTCCCCGGTTTCGACTTTCTGAGTCTCATCAGCCAGAGTCAGGCATATTAAACAAATGTTTCTAGATTACCAGATGCTGTTGGGACAAGCACTCCTCTAAATGACTGCTCATGACATCCCGGAATATTAAACCTGTCCAGAGATTGTTCACGTAAACAATTGCCGTTGTACAATATTGGTTTGGGAAACCAATAGGCTGATGAGACTAAAACGTATTTTTATTTGTATCTTTTTAGATGGGTTGACTATAACACGTTAAAATATAACTCTCGATTCACCAATTACCATATATACTTACCTACATGGTGCACAAGTCGAATTATGCATGTGAGGCTCAGTCGTTTACAAGTTATGCAAACGAACTGCCAATGTTAAATTTAGGCTAATTGCCTGAGCATCGTAAAATTAACGGAAGTTCCATGACAAAATAAATGCATTAACTGCTCCATAAGCAGTGAGTCTGCGCAATGGACAATGCATACCTGGTCTATTGTGTAAACCTCATTAGCTTCCTCTTCCTCAGTCACAACATGCACCTGTGAAACACAACACGGTTTACAAAAAAGTTATTACACACACACACCTACAGTACCCACAAATGGTAACAAAAAAATACAATTCAAATGTTTCTGCTTTATGCAAAGGATTTGCAGATGTTTTTTGCATCGATTCGTAAAATCCACAAATCATACCTCGAGATTAAAGTTCTCATCAGAATAATTTGTTTTTTTCATTTGTCCAGAAGTAACGTCACTGACACGTCATCATCACTTTCGCCATTTTTGTGTGCCAATAGTGATGTCACTATGTTCAACGTGGACATTTTGCACTTAAAAGAATAAAAGAAAAATCCAAAATTGTCCATACAAATCTAAAATTCAGATGTTTTAACATTCAACACTCATTCCTATACGATACCCGTTACAAATTGATATAAAAAATATCCCTTTAAGGTGTGAATACACACTTTAATACTAATACAACATCTGCAGTGTAAACTTGGCTGCTGTGATGTGAGCCATTTCATTGCCACACCACTGCCTTCATTAACCACTACCCAAGCAGAGATGGGGGCCGGTTTATTATTTTACTCCGACTACACGAAACACACAAAGTCACTCGAAAAATTCGTTCCTGCGCTTCCAAAGGGTTATGTTACATCAGTTTGGCCCCGCTAAGTTCTGTTGGATTAATACGTCCTTTTTCACAACTTCAACAGCACAACCAAGGCATTTGCGGCAAACCATATGGCTCTTGTGGAAATAAAGATTCCCATGCATGGGTGGTTTTACAAGTAAATATGTGATTGCTCCGTTTGTTTACAGTGCCACACCACGTGTGCACGCTCTGGCAGGATGGCATGGGGCATAAACATCCTCATGTGTGTGCGCCTTCCTTCCGTCGACACACCACGCCAGTCTTGGCACTACAACTAATTGTCTACCCCGGGTTTCCTATCGGCATATCTCATCTCTTATTCTCTCCCCCTACTCTCAGTCACAGCTCTTTTATTTCCCAGCCTGCGCGTCATTCTCGTAAACAATTGAGGATTTCGCTGCGTGCGTTTTATTGCCGCTCCTTGCCAGGCTGGAATATCTCCCCTCTTGCTGACATGGCACAACACCGCATTTCATCTTACTGAAGCGAAGCCCTCATTTGACAAGTTGTTTTTGCATTGGATGGACATGCGCCTCGAGACTGAATCGGTGCGAGAGGCGAATTATTATAATCGCATCTTGTTACAGCAGTTACAAGTTGACGACGGAGACAATGCAGGAGTGGAAAATGGCATGATCGGGTTTTGTTCTCCATGTTGTGGGTTTGTACCACACAATCATTATGATGCACGGTGTTCTTAGAGCCAGCGCTGTAATATCTCCTGCAGTGGGATGTTCTTAAACGCAATCGGTTCGCGTCGCCCTGTGCGAGATCCGAGTGGATTTATTTTATCTAATGACATGATGCGGACAGCGCGATTGGGATAAAATTGTGAAAAAACGACAAAAATAAATCCATGAATAAAGAGGAAAAGAGATATGTTTTGTGTGTTCCCCCGATCAGAAGTGCACAATCAGTGGGAACGTGCAGGCGTTTAAAAGCTAAGGTTATGTATTTAACAGGAGAGCTGGAGATATAGGAGAGTCGAATTGGAGAGGATGCGCCGTTTTGCTGGCATGGGACGCGGAGTGCTGTGAAGCAGCACGGAAGACGGCGACGAGGATGACTTCCACGGAGGTCTCTAACCTCCAATACGAAACAGTTGGTGAGGGCAACTCAAAGATTAAACCTACACTACGGCTCCAACTTGACCGTGAGGTTTTTGTAGCATGACCGGGCCAATTAAAATAAATTCCATAATGAGGGCATGGCTTTCTCATTATTGTTAAATGTCACTTTCACTTTACTGCTCAGACAAACTGTAAAGGGGCGGGGGCAGGATACGGACTAGCAATAGCGGGCAACACTGGCGCAGGTCAGAGGGGAAGGGCAGGAAGGCGCGCCGTTGGTATGCTCTGCCAAGGCTCTGGACAACTCTACCAGACAACTCTCTCGGACGATTCCACTGGACGATGCTACTGGACTAATCTACCACATGATGACTAAAACACTCTACCAGACGCCTCTATTGGATGCCTCCAACAGACGACTCCAACGGACGATTCTTCCGGCACGACTCTAATGGACTCTACCAGACGATCTCCACCGGACGACTCTACCAGATGACTCTACCAGATGACTCTACCAGATGACTCTACCAGATGACTCTACCAGATGACTCTACCAGATGATCTCCACCAGATGACTCTACCGGACTCTACCAGATGACTCTACCAGATGACTCTACCAGATGACTCTACCAGACGACTCTACCAGATGACTCTACCAGATGATCTCCACCAGATGACTCTACCGGACTCTACCAGACGACTCTACCAGATGACTCTACCAGATGACTCTACCAGATGACTCTACCAGATGACTCTACCAGACGACTCTACCAGATGACTCTACCAGATGATCTCCACCAGATGACTCTACCGGACTCTACCAGATGACTCTACCAGATGACTCTACCAGATGACTCTACAAGACGATCTCCACCGGACGACTCTACCGGACGACTCTACCAAATGACTCTACCAGATGACTCTACCAGATGACTCTACCAGATGACTCTACCAGATGACTCTACCGGACGACTCTACTGGGCGACTGCAAGGCCTTACCTGCAAATTACTCAAGATGGGATCACACGCGGCAGGGGCATCGCCTTGTGCTGTGAAAACCTGCCAGGGGCCTCCTGAAAAGGAGTTGTGAGTCTTAAGCGAGGAAATCCCTGGGTAAATAATATTTATGGTGACGATGACGCACAAAAGGCACGATTCACTATTAAGAAAACTGTTCATGCAGGCATTGTTAAGGGGTCGTGTTACACACAAAAGCGCCATTCATCTTGCCGACGACAGCGCGGTTTGGCGTATTTTAACGGCACGGCAAAAAACGGGAGCGCCACCGTGAGCAGCTGGACACCAACACCAGCTCCCGCCGCACGCAGCCGCAGGAAACACACATCGCGTGTCACGAACAGAATGTTATGAAAACGCTCGTATACGGTACGTCGAAAGAATAAAAAGTACGTTTCGCAGGCATCTGTGCCAATACAACTATCGTAACGCAAACAGATGAAAGCTCACGGCGGTTACTTCTTCGCACGCCTCAATCTTCTCTTTGTTAGAAGGAAAACGCTGTTAAGTGAATTTGCACTTCATTTCCGTCCCACCAATTCGACTGGCGACCACCACCAGTGCAGCAACTTGTTTCCTCTCGGGATTTGGTTTCTGTCTGTTTGTCTTGTCTCTTCTTTTTCCTCTCTCTCTCACTCACTCACTCACTCTTTTCAGAGAGGTTATGGGATTTAGTAGGTGGCAGGGTTGCAGGGGTTAAGGGGTGACGTGGAGTTGGGGATTGACTGTGGGGGGGAAGCGATAGCATGGGGGGTGTGCAAGTGCCGACTAACTGGTTAGGCCCAGGGCCCCAATTCCCAGCTGACGTAACGCGGGCACGCCACCGACCGTGGTAATTGTTGGAAGCGATCGGGGGGCCCCGGCAATTTTTTTTTCCGGATAAGTGCAGGAAATGCGCGGGAGGAACAAAAAAAAAATTTCTACCGTAGCCGCGTGCGCCCCGCGACAAAAAGGCATCTGGCTCTCGCTCTCCCAACGCGAAGCGTGGCGACTCGCCGCGCACGCACACGCTGCCCCCACCCCCCACCCCCCCTCCGTCGCGTAGCCTTCCATCAGCAGGAAGGCAAAAAAGCCCACGGCTCTCGCGGACACAATGAGAGAAAAGCAGCAGCCGAGAGAAGCAGAAGTAAAAAAAAATTAGAGTCCGCGTGTGTCTCCTAAATTTACCCTCTCGGTGCCCTTAACTTAATTCCTCCCCCCCTGTAAGTGGATAGGACCTCATTCAGGCGGGTTCACAGCTGTTATTAAGCAGTTACAAAGTCTCCACTTTCACAGCCCCCTTCCCACGGGTTGTGCTTTCCGCGCGCGTGGCCTCGGACCGGACTCCCCCTCGCCCCTGCGGGGGCCCTCGCACCTCGTGGCTGCGAGGGCCAAGGCTGCCCAGGTATAGCGAGCGAGCGAATGGGCGAGCGCTAATGCCTTATACGCGCGCGGCCATGCATCTGCGACCTTCCTCCACCGGGGGCTCGCCCCGTCGGTCCGTCCGACCGATCGTCCGTCCGTCCGACCGATCGTCCGTCCGTCCGCCCCACCGGTTTTTGCCCGGCCACTTGAAAGACGACCAACGGGCACCCAGAGGTCGGGGAAAAACATTTCCTCTTACGGGTGCCTCCCCAGGGCTCGTCGTGCATGCACGGCGAGCGACTGAATCGAGCGCTCCGAGAGCCTGTAAGCAAGCGTAGCGAAGGCCGCGCAGTGGATCGAATGTCCCGTAAAAATGTAAACATTTACCCCGGCGAAATAATCAATGGGCAAAGTGGAAAGGAATTCTCTTCTTTGCAATGTGTGAAATGGCCATTGGCGTCGGCTGGCAAATTATTTCCTACACACAGCGATGTTCTGTCGTGTTCCTCTTCCACTACGCGCACTTAAATGTACGGCACGTGATTTTTTAAAAATGTCACTTTACAAAAAAAATTGTGAGGTACAGTACGCTCACTTTGGGGCCCATTTATTTGGGCTCCCTAAATCCGGGCAAAATCAGAAGACAACGCATCTCAACGATTTCTCATGGATTAAAAACACAATCTGATTTAATGTATTTAAGATGCCAAATTCAGATCCAACATTAAACACGGCTGGAAACGTAACTTTTCCTCGAAGTGATAGATCTTCATTCGAGGGAATGACACGAAGAAGAGTGTCTGTTTACCAATGGCCACTCCTCGTGCGCTAGTGCTGACGTTACACGAAGGGCTGGCTTTCATTACAGAAAGGTATTCATCAGCGTCACGTGACCGCTCACAAACGGCATCCTGTACAGAGCGGTGTAATTTTTTTAAAATGTTGCCCACGTAGAACATCCTTCAAAGGGACGAATGGATGTAAATATGATTTGGGCTGAAGGGTAGACCTATGCTGTGTGGTGGACTGGGCAGCACAACCCACTGAAAACTGTGCAACGGCCTCTGGATGTTCTCGGGCTCGTGTGCGTTCTGGAATTGTTGAGTTGGCAGAGGCTTTTTCTGCCACTTGTCAAATATTCATGACTTTCACAACATTCCTGTAGATATCGTGCCCGCAGTGCTCACGCCACCACTGGCGGAAGAGCCTCCACGAGAGGGAGGCTTAGAGAGCTCCTCCAAGAGGTTATTTGGCCTACTCTTCCATGCTGGCTAGATGTCTAGGCAGAGGACGGAGTAACCACATTTTACGTAATCGCACTGTGGGTGTGCCGATTTATACTGCTGGGTGAACAGAAGGTGGGGGGTGGTGTAGAGGGCTGAGTTAATTAAACTTGCACCGCTGTCTTAACTGCCGCGCCGGGAGATCGAAACTGGCGACCTCTGGGTCGCACGTCCAGTATGATAACCAATACAACACCGCAACACTCCCTCGATATCAACCTATAGTAAAAAGTGATCGAGGATATGCCCAAGAGGCACTGCATTTTCCGGACATCCCGAAGTAGACAAACTAGACTGAAACTATTTTTATTTGACCAGATAAGGCCCACCGAGCCATATAGCTCTTTTTCAGAAGCGACCTGGCCACAATTACTCTAAAAGCATCTTCATTATAAATGACCTGGGGAAAAATCTACGCGACCACAGGGAGAGAGACACGCAAACTCCAAATATACAGCGGCTGGCGTCAGGGTCGGGATCGAACCCACGACCTCCTGCGCACCAGGCGAGGTAGTCAACATCTGCGAGACACCGTGTCGCCCAAACTCTCATCAGGCAGCGGGCGAGGCTCGCTCACGGGCGCGCTGCCGTCGCTCACCGCGTCCCCTCGGCGGCCGGTGCCCTCCGGCAGCACGAGATCCCCGCGGGCCGCGCGCCGGACTCCGAGGAGCCGCGCGCGCACCGTGGCGGCGCGATTCCACAGCGCGCTGCAGTACGCGTGCGGGTAGAGGAGGCGTGCCGTGCGCGGCAGGGCCATCCAGGCGCGGGCGGCTCGCCCGCCGGCGCCGGCGCCGCTCCCTCCGACGTCGTCGCCGCAGGGAGGGCCGCAGCGATGCAGCGCGCGCAGCATCAGCCGCTCGCGCGTCTTGTGCGCCGGCATCAGGGACAGGGCCAGCTTGGCGTCGCCTGTGTGGGGGGGGGGGGGGGGGGGTTCGCAGGGGGAGGGTGGGGGGCGGTGTGGACTGATCTCTGATCTAGGGGGGGCACCACGGTGGCTAGGAGATGTTAACTACCTCGCCTGGTACACAGGAGGTCGTGAGTTCGATCCCGACCTCGGCGCCTGCTGTTGTATATTTGGAGTTTGCGTGTCTCTCTCCTCGTGGTCGTGTGGATTTTTCCCCGAGTCCTCAGGTTTTCCCTCCACATTTATAAACATGTGTTTAAGAGTATTTGGCAGCTATAAATTTCCACATGGTGAGCCAGTCCATTGAGCTTTCATTTGTGGCCAGCTCACTTCTGAAAAAGGGTTATATATAGCTCAGTGGGCCTTACCTGGTTAAAAAAAAATAGTTCACTTTTAGTTTATCTTGTCGGTCTGCGGTATGTTTATACTCCACACAGGCGAGTTGTCTTCTCATGCTACGTGCGCTGTTGTGATACGTCTGTTGACCGTCTCCCTGCCCTTACATCCCGTCTGGCTCACAGGTGCAATGCAAACATCCGTTTCCACGTACAAGAGACACGCACGCGGACGCCTCGTGTAGCTGTCGAGCGCAGCGGTTAAGGCGCTGCACCAGGTTCCGCGTGCTGAGTTTGATTCCTTGCCACGGCTAACACCGGCGGCAAGCTGTAAAATTATAATGATTGTTTTTAAGAATTTAGAATATTTATTAATCCTGGAGGAATCCGATGAGCCATGAAGCTCTCTTTAGCAGATCTCCAATCGGGGCGGAAAAGAACGTTACAACAACAATACAAAAATACGATCGGAGTGCAAAGTATGATGAAAGTAAACAGGCTACCCAAACACGAATAAAACTAAACCATCCACATCCTACCAGGCAAAGCACACTGAGGTATTGACTTATTTTTCAAAAGCAACCTGGCCACGAATGATAGCTCCACAAAGTGCCTTATCTTTTGGACATTTATAGCGGCAAAAATAATCGAATTGGTCTAACTAAACGCACGTTTCTAAATGTGGAGGGAATCCACGCGACAACGGTGAGAGAGACACGCAAACTCCAAATATACAGCAGGCTTCGGGGTCAAGATTGGGCACAAGGTACATTGATGAGTTGGATTGGCCCGAGGTGGATCACAACTGTACGACCACGACTCCACGTGCACCGGACACAATAAAAAAAATATGACGAAAAAAAGCGGACAATGTGTCTGCTTTAGACGTCCATCTCCACTTAAAAACAAAGACGAAACATTTATTACACTACCCATCAGCCGCACAACAGCCTTCTGAAAGTGCATAATTTCAATGGAATTGTTCAAGACGAGTAACCACAGCTTCGGTTTTGACATCAAGAGTGTCCCATCAGCAGAGCCAGGCTTGCATGGCCAAATGTTGTGAGCAAATCACAGTGACGACAATGGACAAATGACGTCAGGGAACGAGTAAAAAAGAATAATTACGTTAATTAAGATGATTTTTAAGAGACATGATTTTGGTGGGGTACCTATAAGTGGACCCCCGTGCGTAATTAATTGAGCACGTGATTCAAAGGGAACGGTCAGAGAGAAAAGAAAGGATGTCGCTTAGGGTGACGAGATCTGAAGTTTAGAAATCGTCGGTGTAGCGTGGCCAGGATACAGCTCATTTAGTAGAGCAGCAGGGCTCCCAAGTGTGAGTCACGAGTTCAAATCCTGTCCAGGGTCAACCAAATCCATCATCCCTCCGGGATCAGCGAAATGAGCACCACCTGGTGAGACTGCACCACCGGCTTCACGGGGCGAGGAACAACCACGGATGTCCAAAGGGCACGTACCAATCCCTGCCACGGGAATGTGGAATTTACCTCGACGTGCTGAGGACCACCCGGGCAGATGAGCACCGCCCGATGGTCATTAAGAGCATCGGGAAGATGTTATCGTTGTGTTGTTGTTGTTGTGTAATATGAGCACGTTCGCGGCACGCTCCGTTAAGAGCACAGCGGAACGCCGTGTGGCTGTCTCAGATAACACAGCGTGCCGGCATTTGCACACCTTCAAATTTTTTTTTTGACAAATGCCAAATTTGTTGAAAAACGACTCCGTGGAGTTCTGCGAGGGTGCCCCATGCATCACACAAACACGGGGGCGGGATGATGTCTTACATGCGCTTTGTGTTAAACGCGTTGGCTGCTTTTGATGTGCACTTAAGGATATGGAGGGTATACATTCAAACTGCAGGCGTTAAAAGAGTGTACATCCAGACACACACGCATGCAAGCAAAGCACATACCTAGTAGCTATACAAAGATTACCCACCGAGCCGACATAGACTGTTGGGGAAAGTGCTGTTAGCAAACGGGGTAGCCAGCACCATGCCTGGCCATCCATTGGTTTCCGAATGGCTATGCTCACACCACAGCAGGTACTCATTAAAGGCTAAGTCGACTCAGGGAACACTCAGGACTGGCTCTGATATCACTTGCCTCTGATGTTAGCCATGCACTGGGGATCGAACTCAACTTGCCGGATCCAGAGCACAGCGTGATAGACAATCCGCCATTGCTTCCCACATACCTATACATGCACCCATATATTTACACATGTTGACAAAAATACAGGTCTGCGAGACTCACTTTTTGATGCTAAGAGCCCAAAGACAACGATCCCGCGTATAGCCTTAACAGACTGTCTCCCCAATGGCGATGTTCCTGCATCACATCAGTCAACCTTGGGGAGGCCCAGGACCGGTTCAGGTAATGGTCACTGGTGTTGGCCGTGAGCAGGAATCGAACTCGGGTCACACAGGCTTCGTAGCGCAGCGCGCTAACTGCTCACACACACACATACGGTTGCAATGCAGCGAGTCGCACTGTCATCAAGGGAACTCAGTTCATGGACTGCAGTGAACACAGAGCCAGGGGTCGGCTCTCTGTGAAGGACTGCTGCTTCGTGAAGTTTATTTATTAAGGACCACCGTCTCGTATTCACCACACAGTGCATTGTGGCTCTTGTCAGATGTGTTTTTTTTTATGAAATCAAAAAAATGTCCCCTCTTGTTATTTTGGTTGCCAGCTCTTAGCTCTGTACAATAGGAGTGGCACCAACCAAAGAAAGCAAAGCCAAACAAAGAGTATCCAACACAATCGTAATCACAGACAGGCACCTACCGGTCTCCAGGAAGAGCCTTTTGGCCTGGTTGACAGCATCATCTCCTGCCTCCGGAGTGAAAAAGAGCTTGAGAGCTTTGTCCTGCAGCGGCAACATTCGCGATGAGATAAGAAAGCGACGCACGGAAAACTCAGCTGGTCATCATCTCACGCGCGTGCTGGCAGAGCAGGCGAAAGTGCTCCTGGGATTCACTTTTGCAGACAGCTTGGAGCGGTGGCATAAAACAATCATTGTCATTATCATCATCATCATGTAAAACCTGTAATGATCGATCCACTGCTGGATGAATACCTCCACACATCATTGCTGTCTGGTCTGTCGTGGTCACGTGATGGACGGTGACATGTTGCACCTCCGATTAGAGCGGTTGGCGACGTACGGTGCGGAAAAAGTTCAACGTACATAAATACATACGTACGTGCGATGCTAAAATCTGTGTCGCTCCTGCGCATGGGCTAATCTCACCGCTCCATCTCCATGCAACTTGCTGACCCGCCCCTACTCGACGTCTGTGAAACAAAAAGAGCTTCATAGCTCCTCGGATTCCTCCTGCAGTCTAAATCAAGAATTTGATGTCTTCTTGGGCCTGCCGTCCCCTTGCTTAGCGGCAATTCTGTCACCGCTTTTGTCCACGCGCTATTCTACGCTATTCTACGCTAGTCTACGCTATTCTACGCTAGTCTACGCTATTCTACGCTAGTCTACGCTATTCTACGCTAGTCTACGCTAGTCTACGCTAGTCTACGCTATTCTACGCTATTCTACGCTATTCTACGCTAGTCTACGCTATTCTACGCTATTCTACGCTATTCTACGCTATTCTACGCTATTCTACGCTATTCTACGCTATTCTACGCTAGTCTACGCTATTCTACGCTATTCTACGCTATTCTACGCTATTCTACGCTAGTCTACGCTATTCTACGCTATTCTACGCTATTCTACGCTATTCTACGCTATTCTACGCTATTCTACGCTATTCTACGCTATTCTACGCTATTCTACGCTATTCTACGCTATTCTACGCTATTCTACGCTAGTCTACGCTATTCTACGCTATTCTACGCTATTCTACGCTAGTCTACGCTATTCTACGCTATTCTACGCTATTCTACGCTATTCTACGCTAGTCTACGCTATTCTACGCTATTCTACGCTAGTCTACGCTATTCTACGCTAGTCTACGCTATTCTACGCTATTCTACGCTATTCTACGCTAGTCTACGCTATTCTACGCTATTCTACGCTATTCTACGCTATTCTACGCTATTCTACGCTATTCTACGCTATTCTACGCTATTCTACGCTATTCTACGCTATTCTACGCTAGTCTACGCTATTCTACGCTATTCTACGCTATTCTACGCTATTCTACGCTATTCTACGCTAGTCTACGCTATTCTACGCTAGTCTACGCTATTCTACGCTATTCTACGCTAGTCTACGCTATTCTACGCTATTCTACGCTATTCTACGCTAGTCTACGCTATTCTACGCTATTCTACGCTATTCTACGCTAGTCTACGCTAGTCTACGCTATTCTACGCTAGTCTACGCTATTCTACGCTATTCTACGCTATTCTACGCTATTCTACGCTATTCTACGCTATTCTACGCTAGTCTACGCTATTCTACGCTATTCTACGCTATTCTACGCTATTCTACGCTATTCTACGCTATTCTACGCTATTCTACGCTATTCTACGCTAGTCTACGCTATTCTACGCTAGTCTACGCTATTCTACGCTACTAGTCTACGCTATTCTACGCTATTCTACGCTATTCTACGCTATTCTACGCTAGTCTACGCTATTCTACGCTATTCTACGCTAGTCTACGCTATTCTACGCTATTCTACGCTATTCTACGCTATTCTACGCTATTCTACGCTATTCTACGCTAGTCTACGCTATTCTACGCTATTCTACGCTATTCTACGCTATTCTACGCTAGTCTACGCTATTCTACGCTATTCTACGCTATTCTACGCTATTCTACGCTATTCTACGCTAGTCTACGCTATTCTACGCTATTCTACGCTAGTCTACGCTATTCTACGCTATTCTACGCTATTCTACGCTAGTCTACGCTATTCTACGCTATTCTACGCTATTCTACGCTAGTCTACGCTATTCTACGCTATTCTACGCTAGTCTACGCTATTCTACGCTAGTCTACGCTATTCTACGCTAGTCTACGCTATTCTACGCTATTCTACGCTAGTCTACGCTATTCTACGCTAGTCTACGCTAGTCTACGCTATTCTACGCTATTCTACGCTATTCTACGCTATTCTACGCTATTCTACGCTATTCTACGCTATTCTACGCTATTCTACGCTAGTCTACGCTATTCTACGCTAGTCTACGCTATTCTACGCTAGTCTACGCTATTCTACGCTAGTCTACGCAAGTAGCCCACTTACTCTTTGTAACAGTCAAAACGTGACGTCTCTAAACTAAAGTTCTGTCTCCGATCCACGTTTCTCTTTCTGGCTCACAATTTAATTCCGAATGCTTTTGTATGTGCGTCTATTGCAATTTTTGTCCAATTTTCTTTTTCCAGTGTCCACGTGTTCAACCGCTGAGCTGTACTGATTAAATGTCACAGAATTCAGTGTGCACTGATTAAAAAGATGTCCTCTTTAGGCACTGTGCTTTCATTCTTTTTCATAATCAAATTCATGGAACTGAAAACATGAAATTGTATCAAGGCATGGGAACATTAAGTTTAATTTAGTGTGTAAATGGGTATCATGTCACAAGTTAACGGTTGGAAAAATCTGAAACAAAAACTTTTAAATCAAGGGCTTGGAGACTTCACAGGGAATTATTTGCACAATTTGTGGCTTCATTAACTTCCTCAAATTGTTCACAAAGACTCATTATCGCAGGCGGCAGCTGTGGGAGAAAAAAAAAACCCATCGATGCCACGGTTAAGGGCTCAAAGGGCTGAACTTGGCACTGCACCACAGTGGAAAAAAAAGCCACAACACCATCATGGCAAAGATTAGGAAGTAAAACTTCCATACAAATATAACTTTATAATGGGAGATGATTCCGTGGTAAAATGGCAACCATAGTGGACTTGCATTCCGGAGGTCCCCGGTTTGATCTGCTGGCAATCCTTACATCACCGCCACCAGTGGAGCCAACAATATCAATGGGTAACATCAGCAAGCTGCTTGGCAGGTCGAGTGCAGTGGGGTAAAGTGTGGGCACTCCCATCTCTTCCGAGACATGTGGCCAGCGCAGAATAGGAATCCAAAACAATACTCTTAGGTTTTTTCGGTAAAGTCACGTAGGTAAAAAAGAAAATTAAAATTTATAAAAGTAAAATAAAAAATCACGTATCGGAGGCAACACAAGCTTCCGTCTTCAGGTGGAACCGTCACAGCACGCTTGCTGTATCAAGTAAAGAGCTTTACTTGATACAGCAGTGATTTTTTATTTTACTTTTATTAATTTTTATTTTATTTTTTACCTACGTGACTTTACCGAAAAAACCTAAGAGTACGAATCCTTGCAGTCACGAAAGCTTCAAATCTAGAATCCAAAAAATGTGGCACAGTGTGTTTTTTCACGATTCTTAAAATCCATGTCATCGCTTCATAAATGGACAAATCAAACACTTTCCGTGGGTACTCCGCACTTCTTCTGAGACACCTTAACAGCGTGGAAGAGTAGGCAAAATACCCTCCGGAGACGGCTCCCTAGAGCTCCGTCGAGTGGACGTGCTTCTGCCAGCGGGCGTTTTGAGCAAGATTTCGCAGGCACGGCTGAACCTTTACCTTTCACGCGACACCGACGTTAGTCCGTTCAACGTGAATAAAAGCCGCGTTCCAGTTGAGCGCACGTTCGTTGAAAACGCGTTTAAAAATCACTTGCGTCGGTGGGAGCCCACTAAACGAAACAGATGTTTATTGGCGACGGATACACTTAAGATTGATGTTGGCCTCACAGTCAAACAACAAGGCACAGCCAGAGCAGGACGGAGTGCTTTTGGAAAGCCGATCCGAAGCTTCGAGAGGCTGAATTCGGATGCCGTTGCCAGCCAAAGGCGTACGGATCGAGGGGGAGTATGGAAAAGAACACGGGCGCAAACAACGACGGCGGAAAGATGACGGCTGGGGAGTTTATTCGATGACATAATGCGTTGGAATATTCATAATGTTACATTACTGCCAAGGCAGCTCACCGTGGCCGGAGACAAACCAATGGATGTTAGTAGTTAACGCACATTGGTGGGTGGTCGTTACGTTACACGTGCGTAAGACTTTCGTTTAACTGTAATAGGTGAACATTTGCAACTTTACTACTGCAGCGGATAATAAAAAAATATAAGTAAAAAAATCATAGACATGGCTATATATTTATGTTAATATACACAAGAAATGCTTGTATAACGTATAACATAATACATGCTTAATATTGACTTGAATCGCAACACAAGCAATCGTCATCAGGTGACACAAACACAGCAGGATAACTGCTGTCTCACCTGATGATGATCGCTTGTGTTGCGATCGAAACGTCGTGATCTATACATTTTCTATCTACGTGACTTTACCGAAAGAACCAAAGAATATGTTTAATCAGAATTAGAAAGGGTTGTATTCGCCATGAAAGTTCGCACAGACAAGGAATTTACTTTTTTTTATATATTATGCTATGCCCAAGCAGAACGTGTGAATAAACATGTACAATATTATAAACGCTGTGCACAAATAACACGTTGATTAACAACTGATGTGAACCTAGTTGAGTAAAAACTAAAAAAAACTGCCACTGGGTTACAAGGTGCTACTTAAGAATTGGCTGTCAGTCTGTGATGGAGGGACAGGGTTGAGAAGGTGGTGGTACGGGGCGATGGGGCAAAAGACAGATTGATGGCTCTTTCATTCCACAAAGGTGACTGCAACGAAATCGTCTGAGGGCTTACATCCCTGAAGGCCAAGCCAGGCCATCTCCAAACCCAAAACACATTAAACCCACTGACAGATGAGGCCAGCTCCCATTGAGTCGGCATGGCTCTCATCTCTCAACAAACGGTGGAGAAGGGGGCGATGCAGAAATTACGGA